CTCAGAGGCTAGCCTGGTTTACCGAGCTAGTTCTAGGACAGGTTCACAAGCTACACAGAGAAACACTGTCTCAGAAAACCAAAGAGAAAGAAAAGAAAAGAAAAAGTACTCAGGGCCAGGCCTTGTCACACATGCCTTCAAACCTAGCACTTGCATTTGGGAGGCGGAGGGAGGGAGGAAGGGAGGGAGGGAGAGACAGAGACAGAGACAGGTATATATTGGCTTACTTGCTATGGCCTGCAGAGTCTGCTTCCTTACACAACCCAGGACCGCCTGTCCAGGGTGGCACTGCCCACAGTGAGCTGGGTCCTCCCTCATCAATCATTGGTCAAGAAAATGCCCACAGTCTTACCATAACACTGCTGTTGGTTGCCAGGCGTTGGTGGTGCACGCCTTTAATCCCAGCACTCGGGAGGCAGAGGCAGGTGGATCGCTGTGAGTTCGAGGCCAGCCTGGTTGCCAGAGTGAGTGCCAGGATAGGCTCCAAAGCTACACAGGGAAACCCTGTCTTGAAACCCCCCCCAAAAAACAAAGCAAAACAAAACAAAAAACTGCTGTCAGTGGAGGGTCCAGTTCCCAGATAACTAACTGGTTGCTGTCAGGTTGACGGTCTTTTTCTCAAAGTCCGGCACGTCCTTGTGCCTTCTCCACTCTCCTCCCCGTCTCCCTTCACTCACTTGCTCACTCCGGAGCGCTGGTGTTGCAAGTCCATCAGCACGTTAGCAGTCAGGCGTAACAGGCGCTCGCTCTCAGCTGCTGACGTCCTTTCCTGTTTCTCCTGTCCAAATAGGGAACAAGCTTTGCCCTGTATACAGATCCAACTGCAAAGGGACATCTGTGACTTTGGGAACCAGGCTGATCTGCCACCTGGGAGCGGAAGCAAGTCCTCAGGCCTGCAGAAGACCTTCTCCAAACTGACGTCTCGGTTCACCAAGAAGGTGTCATGCACCAGCTCCAGCAGCACACACTATTCCAAAAACGTCTTCGCAGCTGGGTGTTCAGAGGAGAAGGCCAAGATGCCAGGCAATATGGATACACGGTTACAGAGCATTTTGAACATTGGTAACTTCCCCAGGACTGCAGACCCTTCACAGGCGGCTCAGAACTCCAGTAACCCAGTGGTCAATGGTTTTCTCCTGGAGAGACACGAGAACTCCCTGCATCGGGATGAGGGCAAGGACGAGAAGGGCATGAACTTGCCCACGGATCAGGAAATGCAGGAAGTGATAGATTTTCTCTCAGGCTTCAACATGGGCCAGTCACATCAGGGGTCCCCACTAGTGACAAGGCGTAATTCCACTGCCACTGCCATGGTGACTGAACAGAAGGCAGGAGCCATTCAACCACAGCAGCCATCACTGCCATTGGCTCCTCCACTACGGCCACCCCAGGCTGGAGCACACACACCTCTGGCACCCCAGCAAGGTCTGGCACCTCAGCAGCAGTCTCCAAAGCAACAGCAGCCCCAAGTCCAGTACTACCAACACCTGCTCCAACCCATTGGATCACAGCAGACTCCACCCCAGCCTCGGGCACCTGGGAAATGGGTCCATGGCTCACCTCAGCAGCCAGCACCGCCCATGGCAGCGGGTCTGTCTCCTCTTGGTCAGTGGCCTGGCATATCTGACCTCAGCTCTGACTTGTACAGCTTGGGCCTCGTGAGCAGCTATATGGACAATATGGTGTCAGAAGTTTTGGGACAGAAGCCACAGGGACCCAGGAATAACACCTGGCCAAACCGTGACCAAAGTGATGGAGTCTTGGGAATGCTGGGGGAGATTTTGCCTTTTGACCCTGCAGGTAGGTGAGGCCTTCCCACTGCTCACCGAGTTTACAAGGGCAGCATGGTCGCTGGTGAGCTCTCAGAGGCTTGCTGGCCATGGCCTTGTGGAGGCTCATGCATGTGTATACACACTAGTA